CCTGTTCAGCCCAGAAGTGTTGCCAGAAGTACCAGCAGCTGAGCACTACTAAATTAGTCCAAGTAACCTGCTAGGTATTTAGGAATACTCTGTCTCTAGGCTTTAAACAGCCACTGCAGCAGAATGATCCAGACTAATCAGAGCAGAGCCTAGCATGGATCTGGTGGGGGTGAAACAGCCCCAGGGAACTGCTGGTATGTTTGCTTCAGACACAAGAGTCAATATTAGGAACTCCACACTGATTAGCAAGCGTAGTTGAAACGGCTAACTCTATTATTCTAGAGAGCTGATAGATAAGAAGGTGATGACCTATCTTATTCTACTATTTGAGCTGGAAAAAATGAGAAGGAAGGAGACTTAAATCCATGGAAATTATCAATAAATTTGCAGTCTAGAAACACTGATTAAAAAAAGAGAATTTAAAAAATCCTATCTGCTGATCTTTAGCTACTGAATATTTTTGGAGCCCACTGTCTTTGAAGTAAGAATGGCTCTGATGAGAGAAGGAATTAATATTTAAAGGCACTTAACCATAGTATCTACCCAGAATATACAACAGCTTCTTCCCATGCTACAAAAAGCAGGTCTTGGCCTGCTATCCAAATAAAACCAGAACTCACCCATTGTTATAAGGAATCCAGCCAAAAGAACAGCAGTGGATGTTTGGTTTCAGTTTGGTTGTTTTTTCCTTCTTTTTTTTTTTTTTCTTTCTTTTTTTACCTTAACGGACCTTGTAAACTGGGAATATAAGTATTAGATTATGTGGAACTCCTATCTGTGCAGTTCACCAGGATTTAACTGCCTTTTGCCTGTTGGATCAGTACTTCATTCATAATGGCACAGAACAAGGAGTAAAATATTGTGTAAAGAAGTTTACCTCTCAGCATCAGCTGTACCTCTGCATTTGCTGTTTATACCAGTTTCTCAGCAGACAGCTGTGCTCAAGACTGCTGAGGAAAAACCTAGCCAACTTGTGTGGAAGACGAAGCTGGGGGCAAATACATATTCTGCTGCTGGTAATTCAGGCAGTCTACAGCGGTCTACAGTGCATTTAGACAATTATCTGTATGTATGACGGATGTATTTCTGGTTGTCTTATTATTATGTCCTTGTGTTTTTTATTCTCTTCTCTCTGACAGGGTTTATGCCTAACACTTTTACTACTGGCTGTTTTTAAGAAAGCACTGCCTGCTCTTCCCATTTCCATCACCTTTGGCTTGATCTTCTACTTCTCGACAGACAACCTTGTGCGACCGTTCATGGACACCCTGGCCTCCCACCAGCTGTATATTTAGAAGAAGTGGGAGTTAGAGGATTCTTTTTCAAGCTTTTCTGTGAAGTATGGTACAATGTTTGGAATAGGTCATAAAGTTTTTACACTTAGTGCCATATATTTGTAAGGAAAACACTAATTCTGTGACGTGCTGTGTACTAAAAGTCTAATAGTTACATGTTGAACTGAGATTTTTCACAGGACTCTTGGTGAAAAGCCTGTCTCCTTGCTGATGTCAGAGTGTTACTTTTATTTTATCTGATGTGCACATTGGCTGTTGTGAGCACAGAAACCTGTATGTGGCATGGAACACTGGAGAGGTGAGGGGTCTGATCTTCTGGGAGCTACATAAAGTGTTTTAGTCCTGGAACTGCAGTCAACTTTAACCATACTCTAGAATTTTTAAGTCTTCACACATTTGAAGTGTTGTACAAACATGAGGTGCAAGTGATTGGAAAAGCACAGCTGGCAGCAGGCACAGAGCAGTGTGTGAGCATTAGAGAAGTGAGGCTGAACTTCCTGTGTTGGCTGCTGTGCACACACCACCTGTTGAAATTGCCCCATAGGCCTTTTTATTCTGACCTGAGCTGGAGATAGTGAGCCATGAGGGATTGAGACAGGATGTCAGTGGTGGGATGTCTGAACATCAGGCTCCTGGCTCTGAGCACATCCCCCACTGCAGCCAGCAGCTGATGAAGGCAGGCCTGCCCCTTCCAGCGCATCAGATCCTCAGCATGTGGAAACAGATACTGCTCTCTCCTCCCAGCGTTTTACTTTTTAGGAAATATTTTTCTGGGTCCATACTGCAATCCTGAAATGACCCTAAGGTGGAAATGTCTGAACAACTCCAGTAAATCAGACCTGTAACTTACTGTGTGTGTTTCTGGTCTCATTTCTGTGCATTATTGTAACTACTCCAAAGGAGGATTTATCTTCCCTTTATTAAGAGGTCCTTTCTTACACTGACTGAGACTTGGTTTACCTAGGTTTTTGTACTGTTTAAAGATTATTTTTTTAATTACAAATTTTAAAATAGCTATTTAGTGTCAAAGGGACTCTTTTGGAAATATCCAGTCATAGTTTGTATCAAAATATTGGGGTGCAAACTTTAATCTGTTGTTACATTACTTTTAGGAATAGCTATACAGCCTCAAGTGAGTTCATTAAGAAATCACAGTGCTTGACATCAGTAAAAAATACATAGGACAGACTGAACATTTATGTTTTGTCCACCATTGAAAATAATTTTATTTCTACTCTTCGAGTCAGTTTTTCAATAGTTGCCAAAGTTATGTGATTTTTTTTTCTTTTCTTTTTACTTGTGTCTGTTAAACAAGTTCAGTTTTCTCTGACAGCTGATCAGTGTCAGTAAATGTAACATTATGTGAGATTTCATGACTAATGCAATGCCATTGAGAGACACAGAATTTAATTTTTGGAAATAGTTTCTAGCTAAGGCTTTGAATTACACATTTTTTATGTAGTGCTTTTTCCAGTAGACCTGTTCAAGCTTATCTGCTTTGATATTTAACAAGGACATCACACAGGTGATTCAGACTAATTTTTAAAAAGTGCATGAGGGTTTTTACAAGGGGTGTGTGTGTGGGTGTGTGTGTGTCTCAGTCTGGACAAGTCAATGACTCTTGCTCTTTGTTAGTTTTCCGTCCTCATTTCTCACATTTGCAATGTTTGGACTTAACAACTGCAGACAGTTAACTATTACTAAAAGTATTTCCTTTGGAAATGTAAATCAGTAGAGCTTTGTTTGCTGATTTTTAAGGTTTATGTGAGAGTTGCTTTTTCTATTTGTTTGTTTGTGTTTGTTCTTTTTAATGAAAACAGTTAGAGGGCCAAATTGGATGAGAATCCCTGGGAAACATGCTTTTACTTTTTGCATTGCATGGTGTAGAGAGGATGTGAATTATTTGTATATACTGAAAGAAAAATCCTGCTTGGCTTATCAGGGTTGTAGCATATTGTTAGAAACTATTTCTATGAAAGCAGAGTTGATACTTGAAGAAAACTGGGAGGGGTACCTTCACGTATTGAAGGATCACCACTGGTTTTCTGCAGATACCTGCTCGCCAAAGACTGGCCTTCCACTGACCAATTCTGCAGAACTTACAAGAATTGTAATTTAAAAGGTAACTGAACAACAGATTCTGGCAGTGCAACAGAATGTATTACCCTGGTGAGTGATAGGAATATATCATGGATATACTGGAGTGGTTATAATTGTGTAAAAGTTCGTATGTATTTACTACAAATATATATTTGTGTTTGTGTGTGCATATACACACAGACACGGAAATTTTAAAATTATGTTGAGTGATTTCTCATCTCTTTGAATGTTTTCACTTGTGCATGAAGTGAACTTTTGTTTGTGATGTTAACATTGTGCAGCATGGCTTAAGATGTGAAATGCAGAGGGCAGGATTTATCCTACTCATAGCTGGCTGCTACATGAGATACTGTCTCAGTGACCTGGCAACTTAAATCAGCAAAGCATTTGTCTGCCTAATGTGTTCATTCACCGGTGTCAACTTGCTGCATGCTCCGAAGAAATCCCGCTGTTCCCCTTGATGTGCATCCCTGAAACAGCACAGCTGCCAGGTACACTGAGGTGACACCTTTCTTGATGCTGGTGTCACTCAATATCTGAAGTCCTAGGAGGTGCAATGTGTTGGTATTTTCCTGTGTGATCCCAGTCACACTCACCCTCCTCTCCAGTCTGAAATGAGAGTTTCACTGCATCTAGTCTCAGATGTAGCTTGAACATACATCAGCCTTTAAGATCTAAGACTGAAGCCAAGTCCATGAACAAAAATGTAGTGGTGAGCCTGCCTAATGCAACCCCCCAGTGAAACTTTTGGTGGGAGATCTGGGGTTGTTTCAAGTGTCTGCTTAAAGGTTGTTTTAAGTGTTGCTTGTGTGTTAAAGACTGGAGATGACTTGTCCTTAGAGAATGCACAAGAAGCATCACAGTCATAATGAGAAAAACAGAAACAGGATAGTCCTTGCAGAAGCACACAGCTTTCATTTGATACTCATGGTCTCATTCATAAAACCTGACATCAGGCTCTTTGTTCTTGCCTTCATAGGTACTTCAGTTAATCCCACTGTGTTTGCTTTCCTCTTCCTCATAACTCAAACTGGGTTTTGGTTTAAATTGAATATATAGTTATTTTTCTTTATTGTTTCCCTCAGTCCCTGAGCTCTGTTTCTGCTTTAGAGACGCTCCTTGGCAGCCACGGGAGGGCAGTAGGTCTATGTGGAGAAGTACCAGCCATTTTAAAGTACTCTGCCATGTGCCCCTTGTTTTTCAGAGAGGCTGAAGGCCCTGGAATCTCCTTCGTGGCAGGAAAAAAAATAAAGGCAGGCACCCCACACCGCAGCACAGCTGTGGTTTTGGCCCAGCATGGTAAAGACTTCCAGTGAGAACAAGCTCATGCTGAACCAAAATTCATTTAAAACCAGCTCTTTTCAGTGTGATGCCATGTTCAGCACTGCAGTCCTGGGTGAGATGCTGCTGTTACGTTGCACACTCAATTTTGTTTGGCTTCTCTCTCCCTTTTCTTTTTTTTAATGAATCATCCAGACCTAGTGTGATTCCTCAAAGCCCCAAGCATAAGTAAGGAGCTCCTCCAGCATTGCTAAATTAAATTTATTACAGAAATAAAGATTTCTTCTGAGCATCTTCAAGAAGGAAAGGAATAATTATACTTACTGATTTGTCATTCCTCCTCTCACTTCCAGTCTCCTATGCCAGTAGGTCTTGCTAATCTGGGGGGAAAAAAGAGCACACAGCTGTCATTCCAGCTCTTGGCACTGAAAAATCTAGGGACAAGCTAGATAATATTGGATGGGGCTTTGAGCAACATGGTCTAATGGAAGGTGTCCCTGCCCATCACAGTGGGGTTGGTACTAAATGGTTTTTAAGGTCCCCTCCAACCCAAGCCATTCTATGATTCTCTGTTGTTTGTGTCCTCAGGAGGACCAGAAGGTATCTTACTTTCTTGAACTCAGCTGTTTTGTAAGAAAGCAGTCTGGAGAGATGCGGTATCTTTGCCAGAAATTCTTCTACAACACTGTTTGTACGCCCCCAACAGACGTTGTATTTCTCAATGTATTTCTTCCTTTGTCCTCAGGTAAAGTGATGTGAGCTGTTCCCATTCTACAAGTGGGAAATAAAGCAAGAGAGAAAATCATGGAATCATAGAATGGTTTGGGTGAGAAGGGACCTTAAAATCATCTAGTTCCAGCCCCTCATCCGGGTAGGGACACCTTCTACTAGGTTGCTTTATCCAGCCTGGCCTTGAACACTTCCAGGTATGGGGCATCCGCAACTTCTCTGGGCAACCTGTGCCAGTGCCTCACCAACCTCACAATAAAGAATTTCTTCCTAGTACCTAATCTGAACTTACCCTCTTTCAGTTGGAAGCCATTCCCCCTTGTCCTATCACTACATGCCCTGTTAAAAAGTGCCTCTCTCTGTTTCTTTTGTGCTCCCCTCGAGTACTGGAAGGCAACGTGACCATGCTGAGTTTGAGCTTGGATACATAAGGAAGATCTGTCCCCATCAGCTCATGGCATCAAACACCATCACACCAAGTTACTGTTACTTCTTGCTTACATATTGCTTTGCTGCAGGTTAGCTGTTACCCACCTTTTGCCACTCTAAATGCAAGATGCCTGCCCTGAGCACTGAAGGAGTTAGGCAAGTTATCTTCATTGTGCAACACATTTGACAGGTGCCAGAGAGCACGATTTGGGAGGTGTCAGTGCTCAGCACTATTTGTGGCTCAGTATTGAAAAGATATAAATAAACAAAGACTATGAAGTGGAACTAGCTAAATTTATTGATATAGAAACCTGAGACAGGTACAGGGCCAAGTAGAAGGAGTGGAAGTTTTCCAAAACTGGGAACTGTTTGAGCCCTATCAATGCAGCCTGAGGTAAGCTCCCACAGCCAACTCGGGATTAGATCTGTGCAGAAATGAATGCCAGGAAGCCTGGCACTCCTGAACTTGCCTTGCAGAAGGGGGTGGAGTAGGAAAAGCATTAGGCTATTTTCTCCTGGATCACTGGTTTCCATGGTTTCAAGGAGACCTTGCTCATGCAGGTATAAAATATGAGTTAACTCCACAGCTAACTTGCATTTAAGCAGATCAGGAACAATGTATAAAGTGAAAATGTGGAAAACTGATCCAGCCTATTTAACTTACGCCATGCCACCTTCAACCTTAATAGAAGCTTAATACAAGCATTTAAAGTTCTCCCTGACTTCATGGAGCTTCATCTGTGTATGAAAGAATATGAGCCTTCCTTGACAGCCAGTGTAAGACGAGCAAGATCCCTGGAACTAAAGGTAGGATTCAGGATTATTTTAAAAGCTACCTATCCTGTGTACCAACAGTTAGCAGCAATATAATGCCAGTAGCATTAACAGAACTGTTCTAAACAGGAAAGTCATCCCTTCATCAAGCCAGAAAAAACATGCTCTCTCTTTAAGCCCCTACCAAATACAGTCTTTGTGATATTCTGGAAAGTTCAGATCTGAGCTATTTTTGTTCTCCAGCTATTATACTAATACTCTTCCTGAGTAGTGTTCTGTTAAAATTTCAAGATGCAGGAAAACTTTAACTTTCTTCTTTAATATGGAAAAGAATCCCCCTGATTTCTGCCCCTGTGATTTGGGTGGGCAAGCAAGAATGAGATGGCAAATGCACTAAACGAGGACTTAAATAGGATAGGAAAATGAGGGCATTCAGCATGAAAAGGGTTAAGGTACCTTCTCTGCTACACTTGTGTGCACATGCTACCTAACACTGTCATGAAATAGGAGCACTGCTGCAGAACAGTAGGAACATTTGTATTTCAGGGAAGGAGTAACATTTCCTATGCTGGGAAAGCACACCACCAGCTAAACTGAAGTCACAGTTGCTACAGTGCTTTGAGTGGATGGTGCAGAGTGTAGTCACTGTCCAGGCTGCATCCTTAGATACTGTATGTGGTGGGACTGCTGAAGGAAAGGGTCATCTTTGTGCTCACACCTTGGGCTCCTCCAGGCTAGAAATCTCACAACTGTCTGGAAGTTGATGGGGGAATGAACCTGCAGTGCTGGTTCTCAGCACTGCTGTGCCTGAAGGCAAACTCTTCTCACTGCACAAACTCACACTAGCACAGAGCAGGTTGAAATGACTGCTGTGCTTCCACTGAGGCTTTCCAAACACTTCTTTAGGCATCAGGAGCACAACAGAGCAGAATAATGCCATTAACCTTTCATTACAGATAGGAGTTGAATAATTTGCTCAGGGTCAAATGAAGGGCTTAACCTGGATGTCTGGAGCGTCTCTCAATCAGTCACTTCCTACCAGAGGCTTGTTAATTGCTGGTGTCTCCCTCTTAGTTGCACTCTGGTACGTGTCAGTCAGGATGTTCTGCCACCAGTCAGTCGGTCGCTCTCTGTCCAGGTATGCAGACACAGATGTAGATAGCAGAGGTTAGATTATGCAGTCCTGCTCAAATGGCCTCTGGAATTGGACTGATAGCCACAGCAAAGCAGGAAAAGGGTCAGTCAGCACCCAAATGTAGCAATGATCCTGTCTTCCCATACTGGTTTTGGTTTTTGAAGCCACATCCCTGCAGACTGACTGCTAGAAGTAAAATGTCATGACAATCTGTGAATCATCATCTGGCAAGTGGATGGAGTTTATGAGTTTGTCCATTTGCCACACAGGGACTCAGAAACACCCTGCAGCTTTCCACGTCTCTGTCCCACACCTTGCTGTGTTTGGAACAGTGAGTCAGGAAGCCAGGAAGCCAGAACAAGTACTGGCTTTCAGGGCAGTGAAAAAAAACAGTGTCTTGGGGATGATTCCAGGCTAGGGCAAGGTGGCTCACTGCTCTCCAGCTCTGTGAGACATGGCAATGCCGTGCCAAAAGCCAGGGCAATGGCTGAGTTTGGCAGCACACTTTGCCATTAACCAGCAGAACTGTGATGACTAGTGTCGATTCTTAGTTCCAGTAAAGTGTTCAGAAATAATATGTTCTCTGGCTCCAGCCCGCCTTCCCATTTAGAACAACTCTAACCAGACTGTTCAGATAACCCTTCTGTCCTTGGCAAAAGGCTTTTCAGAGCGGCTAAATGCAGGCAAAGGACTTGTTTCTGTTTGCCTAGCTTCAAAATTAATTTGCCATGTTTGCCCAGGGGGTGAATGGCTTTGCCAGTTATCATCTGTAAAGTTAATCTGGGCTGGAAGCCACAAAGAACTGAGCCTTTCCACCTTGTCCATGAAGGATTGATTGAGGTACATGTAAATAATCAGGTGCCAAGGGAAGAGAGCAGAACACCAAACTATGCAAGCAAATGCAATTTACAATAAGCAGAAACAACTGATCTGTCTAGTCCAGACAAAGAAGAATTACAGACTAAATAATGTTTAACTGAGTCCAACAGAGAAACAGAAATGCCATGTTCTTGAGGCACACAGACGCTAATCAGGCTACTGCACTCTTCATCTCATTCAAAATGGCTTTGCTCAACACTCATAAAAAGCACTGTTGTGCAACACAATTTGAACTGGCAAGTATAATATTGTGAATGTTTTACTATATAAATTGCTAATGTGGCAGGGGCAATGGTGCCTGTCCCTGCCCTGCACTGTTCCACACACTACCCAAAAACAAGGACTGGTATCCCTCTCTTCCACTTAGTGCTTGTATCTGCACCTCTTCACCTGGAACTGTCCTTGTCTTAATGTACTCCACCCCCACAGGCTCGTCTCCAATTTCCAAAGCACCCAGGATCCACTTGACACCCACATGGTGAAGTTTGGAGGGGTGAGTGGTATGAGGCACAGCCACGCCTGGTGTGGTGGTGTTTCCATGGTGTGCTGCACAGCCCTTTCTGACAGCCTCCTGTCACTGAGGAAAATGGAGTAGCTTAGGCTTGTTGTGGCTTGTTACCACCTCACCCTGACAGTAGCACCTAGTTTTGTTTTCTTTCATCATCCTTCCCCAAAGCAGTCCCTTTCTGGGTGATATGGAAAGGAGGGAGGTGTGAGCAGGGGCACGCAGAGGCAAGGCAAAACGAAGGGGGCAAAGGGAAGGTTTTTGTGTCTTCTTCACCTTAATTTTTTTTTCAATTAGGGGCCAAGACAGCCCTTCAGCAGTCCCTTCTCCTCCACAGAACCTGACAGCCACCTCTGCTCATCTCCACCCAGCCATGGGTCTCGGACCCCTCCAGCAGGCCCACTGGCATTCCCTGCCCTCTCCAGCTGTGCAGAGCAAGGGTGCTCACTGAAAGCTCCAGAAGGACAACAGGGGTGGGAATAATGAAATTTCTCTGTGGTGACCAGTAACATGACCTGAGGGAATGGCATAAAGTTGTGTCAGGGGGGGTTTAGGTTAGATACTAGGAAAAGGTTCTTCAGCCGGAGGGTGGTTGGGCACTGAAACAGGCTCTCCAGCAAAGTGATCACAGCACCAAGCCTGACAAAATCCAAGAGGTGCTTGTCAATGCTCTCAGGCACATGGTGTAATTCCTGTGGTGTCCTGTGCAGGCCCAGAAGTTGGACTCAGTAATTCTTGTGGGTCCCTTCCAACTCAGCATATTCTGTGATTCTAGGAAATATCTGTCCTGCTCCCTGCACTGTATCTTCCTCTTGGACATAAAATATTCACTTGAGATCTGCCACACCAGCCCCTTCTGACAGCACTAAATCATCTTAAAATTAAATTGATAACTGAAATGGCATCTTGTCTCTGTCCCTTTGCAGTAAGTGGAGAGAGAAAAAGGAAGTACAAGTGCAGTGAATGCCAGAATGCTTTGGGATGAAAAGACACATTTCAGAAACTGCAGTTCAGAGCAGTACTAATCTTAACAAAAATAGCTCATAATTTGTATCCTATGATGATGCTGGATGTGCATCTACCATTGACTGAGTCAGCGAGATCCCATTTCTCTGAAAGCTCTTGCTCTCATTCTTGGCCATAAAGCCACATAAATAACATATGGTACATACAGCATCATTGACACCTGCCAAAGCTTTGAAATACTTACAAGCTAACTACTAAAGCCAAGCCACCTGTCCAGTGACTTCCATTTGAGTTGTTCCATTTCATAATCCCTATATTATTATGTTGATGGAACGCCATAAATCTACATAGTCAGAGAAGACATTCCATCTGCCCTGAAATTACCCTCTGGAGAAGATGAGTGAACTCACAGCAAAACCCCTCAAGAGGTAGCTCATCTGAGCCTCAGAAGTTGCTTGGAGGAGGAGGACTGAGGGAAACATTACCAGTGCAGCTTTTCCTTTGTGGTATGAACATGAGAGAAGGATGGTGACATATATTAGGGATTCCTAGAATCATTAAGGTTGGAAAAGACCTCCAAGTTCATCAAGTTCAACCATACGTGTTGCGGTTAGAGAAACAGCTTGGGCCTGTCCTACGCAAGAGAATTTCTGAGTGTTCTCTGAGCAGCCTAGATACTTGTAAACCTAATTACATGACCAATCGCGGCTTAATTGAGGCTCCATTAACTTTTTTTTCTGCAGGTCAGTGGTCTGCCTACTAATTTTCTGTTGCAATGGAACCCTTCTTACTGCAGGGCCCAAAGATCCTTGCAGGCACTGGTTCTCTAATGTTTTCTGTTGGTAAAAGTTTAGCCCTTCTGGCTCATTCCTCTCTGTGTTCCTCTCCAGGGACATTGAGTTGGGTCCCACTTTGTACAAGGCTTTGAAGAAGTCAGCTTTCACCAGGTGCTTCAGTCAGCACCAGCACTGGCAGAGGTTTATTTGGGTGTTCCCTGGCTCACAGTAAGTGGTGAGATGATTTCTGGTGAGAAAACAGACTCCTCTCAGAACTAACAATTAACAGGGAAAGGAAGAAAATCCCACCCAAGGGATTTTCCTGCTGGCAGTCACAGCCAGGGAGCCTTGGGCTCGCCCTTCCCAGCACCCTTCTTGCTGCTCCTGCCCCAGGCCTGCAGCAGAGCTGCACCATTAAGACCTTCATTACATAAATATCAACAAGCAGTATCAGGTGGGGATAGGATGGCACAGCTAAAGCATCTGCTGTGGAGTCAGGACTTCCAGCTGCTACATGAGGCTCTCCCACTGACCTGCAAAATTAGGATATTTTGAGAATTAAATAATCTTGAACAAACCATTTTAACATTAGTAGGAAGAAGCTTCTGGGGGACTCCCACACTAATTAAATTGTAACTATTTGTTATAATTTAAATTTATTATAATTTTTGTTATATATGAAGATAGATCACTGTAGTATTTATAGCTTTATAATAATATTATTATAATCAAGCTTATAATGATTCTAATAAAAGATTGATTTATATAGCACTCATAGTTTTAAGTTTCTTGCTCTAAATGCTCACAGAAATGTTTCTAGATAAGGCAGTGTGTATATTGAGATTTGACTGATTAGAACACTACCAAACAAGCTACAAGAAGTAAATGACAGCTGTATTGCCAAAAATGGGTTTTAGCTGATTTATTAATAATGTTCACTTCTTGTTCTTATAGCTAATCAAGAGACTCCTCAAAGTCTATGAACTTGGTCTTTCACAGGACTGATTTGGCTTGCTCTGAAAATTCAGCCCTGCACTGCACAAACCTCCAAAAGAGTGCAGGTATATAGCTCAAAAATTATGTGAGATTTAGACAGTTGATGCAAAACCTTTTAACATCTAACAACCTTATTCTGCTGTCACATCCCACTGGAGGCACAAAAGCATGAATGGATATAAATGTTTAGGTATTTACAAAGAAGTTTCATAGAATCATAGAATGGTTTGGGTTGGAAGGGACATTAAAATTTGACTAGTTCCGACCCTCTGCTGTGGGCAGGGACACCTTCCACTAGACCAGGTTGCTCAGAGGCCCATCCAACCTGGCCTTAAACACTGCCAGGGATGGGGCAGCCACAGCTTCTCTGGGCAACCTGTGCCAGTGCCTCCCCACCTTCACAGTGAAGAATTTATTTTTAATATCTATCCTAAGTCTGCTCTCTTTTAGTTTGAATCCATCCCCCATTCTCCTGTCCCTACTGGCCCTTGTAAAAAGGGCCTCTCTTATAGGGACTGGATTTCTTCCCTCTACCCTGCTTGGAAGGGCTTTATATGATAATGTTTCCACAGCACATTCAGCAGATCAGTTTCTACACAAACCTTGCACAGATTCAGTGCCTGGATGAAGTTGCTGTTTCACCTACACTGCTTTGATGAAGGGCACAAAATCAGAATGGGACAACCTGGGCTGCCAATCCCCAAAAGATTCCTGTCCATGTCTCCTGCCACTGGACAAGGCATAGTTAGCACAAAGCCTGATTGCATATTTGCCTGGGATTTGGATGGGATTGGAGGAGGGCTCCATTCTCATTTCCTCTTGCTGAACTTCCCCATTAAATAATATGAGTAAGGCTGAAGAGAGAAGACAAGAGTATGCATAATGATTAGGGTCTCATTGTGCAGGTTGGGTGCTGTTAAGTCTTCACAAGCAGAGAAGGGAACCTGAATTTGAACACCCCAAAGCCCAGAGGAACAGTCAACAAGGCTGTTAACTAAACACTGATGCCCTTCCTGAAGAAAAGGGTGACGCCTTTTCTATTTTCCAAATGCAACACCCTGCCCCCTCCTTTTTTCACTATTACCATTTTTCTTCAGTTTACAGGGAGATCTGCTGTGGAACAGCTCTCCCAGCGCTTCAAATACATCATGTTTAACTTTTTATTCAGGATTGTGGACAAAGTAGGCAACCATCCCCACAAAAAATTAGCCTCTGGATTCTGAATTGAGTCCTGGGTGTCCTGTCCTTATTCCCCCTAAAAACTAAAAAGTAACAAAGAAGGACATACACTATTTTTTCCCAGCAGCTTCAGTCCACTTTTTAGTCCTACCTCTTTGCACTCCAAATTAGGTGGGAATACAGACACTTCTCTCTTCTTTAAGTACAGAAAGAGCTAGCCATGAGCTCAAGTTCAATGGGTCTTTTAAGGCTGCAGAAAGTCTGGCAGGAGAAAGTGTGATGCAAATTGAACAGCAGTGGCAGAAATATCCAATGGTTTACCACCTGTGAATAAAGGGAACGAGTCAGGCCTGTCTTTGAGACATGGGGAGAGCTTCCCCCTGTGCTTGTTCTGCCTCCATCTCAAACTATGGCAGCCTGCTCATGCAGAAACCTCCAGTTCTCCGTGCTCAGCACAGTGAGTAAGATGTTTCACAATTAATGCCAAGCTGATGCAAGCAAAGTGATGTTACACAGAAACTGCGCACTGACATCCAAATTCAATACAGGAACAGATAAAAGGGTGTCGTTAGAAAAGACATCCAAAACTTACCTTTTTCCAGATGAGGGCATATATGATCTTTCCTTTATTAGAAATAGTATGAACCTAACCACAAATAGAACAATTAATTTGTGTGCATTTCCACAGGTGTGGGTATTGAAATGAAGAAAACTAGGTATTTTTTTGATGTAACTTTTCAAGGCTAGTGACTTATTGCAGTCATGTTTTTGCTTCATCTACATATTGAGTCTCTGTCCCCTTATCAAACATCAAAGGATCATGTTTGCCCTTTCCATTTCAGATATATTTTGTCTACACACAGCCTGTGTGTTAAGCATTTTATTCAATAATGTGCCTTTCCCAGGGAACTCTTTCTTTTTTCACCTTTCAAATTCAGCCTTTCTAGTCCTGATTGGGGCTGGCTTCTTATTCGATAATGTTTGGGTGATGAGTTTTCCTAAATTGATTTGTAGCTGTCTGTTCAGTGCCTTACAGAGACCTCCTCATGGCTTACATGGGAAGCTGAGAGGAGTTTGGGGGAGATGCAAATATTTTAATTTTTTTAAAAAAACAAGAAAAAATATGTGTAATACTTGAACAATATTTGGTATGATCCTAAACACCGGCCAAACAATCTTTGGTCTGAGCAGCTGGAGATAATAATTGTCTCTCTCTGCAGGGAGGGCAACTTTGGCAATAGCAGGTTGGCAGTAATATTCACAGGTTTGGTACAGTTAAACCCCTCTGCACACTTACAGCAGACCATTTATCCATTTTCCTTCTTCACAAATCGACAGCATCTGTATCTCCTACTGACTTAGATATAGGTCCTCTGGTGTGGATTTAAGTGCTCAATTCAAATTACTAGTTAGCTGAAAAAGTTGGCAGAAGCAAGCAATTGACAGTAGCGAAATTAAAGCTCAGGGCTGTTTGTTGGTCACTCCTGCAAGTTATATTACAACTAGAGAAGGATTAAGAATCCTGTTTGGTTTAGGAAGGAATGAATGATTTAATCTCCAAACCTCATCTGAATGTATTCCTGCACTGATGCAGCCATGTGGCAAATGCACCATAACGACTGTATTGTTATTTTTCAGACGGGAAAGTTGCTGACAGAGGCGGGCTCTTACCAGAGCATCCAGACAAGCACGGAGCTGGCTCTTGCTGTGAGCCCCTTGCAGACGCCGCATCCCTGAGATCGACCTGTAGGGCACTGCATTTATTTCCAACGTGCTTAAGAGCATTTCCCAACAAAGTGAATAATTCCCAATGCCTGCGTGAGACGATGCTTTGAAAAACCACACAGGCAGCCACAAACAAAGGATTCCTGGACACGGAGCTCCCCGAACTGGGAGTCGGTCCCTTCGCCTGGCATTTCCCTGGAGTCTGCCGGGCGCGGGGCTCCTGCCCGTCTCCTCACGCACATTAATGGGGACTGTGGGACCGCCTGAGCAGCGACACCCCAGCCTCCCCGAGCCCACCTCAGCTGTGGGATGCGAGCGTTTCCCACCGCAGGACCACCCTCCCCCGCCCCACCAGCCGGGACGGCGGTGAGACGCCGCCACCTCCGACTGACACCGCGACCGGGCCAGTCCCCGTTGGCTGCAGAAGCCCAGCCCGGGGGGAGCCAGCCCAGCGCCGACAGACGGTCGCCGCCCCGCTCGCAGCACACGCTCCTCACGCCTCGCCCCGCTCCCCGCGGCCCCCCCGCCCGCCGCCGCACGGACCTCACGGGCCTCACGTCCCCCTGCAGCCGCCGCGCGCGCCGCGCCGGGCCCGCCCCGCACTGGCCGGAGCCCCGCCCGAGCCCGCCGCCCATTGGCGGAGGCGCGGGGCGCACGGGCTCCGCCAATGGGAGCGCGGCGGGGGCGGGGCGCGCGGCCGGGACGCGGCCGGGGGCGGCGGCGGTAAACAGGCGTGCGGGCCCGGGCCGCGGCTGCTGAGCGGAGCGAAACGGAGCCGAGCCGGTGCCCGCTGGGCTGTGCCGGGCCAGGGTATGGGGAGCGACCGCGGCGGCGGGGAAGGCGGGCCGGCGGCGGGGTGGAGGCAGCGGAGCGCCCGGCAGTGGTGGTGCTCCGGTAGTGGTGGTAGCCCCTGGCTGTGATAGTACCCCTGGCTGTGGGAGTGCCCCGGCAGTGGGAGTTCGTCCGTTGCGATGCGGGGGAGCGGTGCGGGAAGGGATGCGGGTGATGGCGGCGGAGGTGCTGCCGCAGGGAGGACGCCCTTGCCCGGCTCGGCGCCTCGGGCCGGGGGTCGCTCCCCCGGGGCGCCTTCTCCGTGGGGAGGGACGTGTGCGGGGTCCGGCGGTCGATGGCGGCCGCGGGGCAGCGGGGCTGCACTCGGGCAGGAGGCGCCCGGGGCTGCGGCCTTCCCGTGCCCTTGGCCGCGTCCTGTCGGGGTGAGAGCGGGGCCAGCCGGGTCCCGCCTCCTGCCCGAGAGCAGCCCCGCGCTCGGCAGCGCCGGGCTGGGAGCGGGACTGGCGCCTCAGCGCACCCGGGCAGGTGCGCGGGCTGAGCGAGGAGTGTAGCCGAAGGGGTGACCAGGGAAAAGGGTGGAATCCGCCGTTCCCTTGGGCCTTGCCCAAGGACACCAGGGCAACCTGGTGCTGTGCTGCTTTTCAGGCTGCCCCGGCTTGGAACCTCGCTCCTCTCTGTGGCTGGCTCCGTGCGTGTGGCTTGGAGATGGATGTAAAATAAAGCTGTTGGGTGGTTTTTAAGCTTTGCTTGTGGCTTAAATGGGGGTAAAAAAACCCCACCCTTTGAGTCCCCTGCCTCTGGTAAAATGCCTGTGGAAATAATCTTTCTTTTTATAGGCAAAGAGCCTTGTACAGTCTTTGTAACAATGTGAACAGGAACTGATGGGGAGATACTTAGTTTTAATCAGACAAGGAACAAGCTACCTATAAACAATTATAAATATGAAAGTTTGGTTTGTATAATGTTGTTTTCATGGTTACTGACCATTTTGATTTCTGCAGGACTGTGTCATAAGAAATAACACTATTTCCAGTAGCCCGATAAGGTTGTGTTCCATGCAGCAGGAATGCAGGTGGGGAGTTTCTCTGTATTCCCCTCCATGCAATGAAAATCCAAACTTTGTGGTCGGTGTTACAAAAGGAAATTAAAGCTTTTCTTACAGTAACTGAAGATATCATTTTTCTAAAAAGAATTAATTTAACAATTTCTGATTTTTTTTCAGAGTTGCTTGTCTTTAAATTAGATTGTTTTACTAGACTTGGGTATATTAATTGAGAACATACAAAATAAGTCTTAGCTCTGGGTGCTGAAGGATAGTGGCCAAAGTCAATAGTAGCTCAACAAAATATTTCAGAAGGGATCCAGAAATTGTTCTTTATACAGAGTGAATGCTAGTTGGTGTCTAAGGGTATATCGGTAGTTTAGCATTTCTCTGTCATGGGATGAGAACATTCATATGTTATCAGAAGGAGTTTAGCTGCAGCTCACAGGAACTGCAGCTAGCAAGAGCAAGCAAGAACCTTCTTGCTCTTAGACCAGGAGAGTTCTTTTTGTATTTTGTAGATTTTTTGTTTCATTGCTGTTAATTAGCAGTGACCTTGGTAACCTTGAATAAGATACACTTAGAAGAAGCAGTTTTATGTTGTGCAGGCTTATTGGAGATGGGGAAGAAAATGGGTGGCCTGCTGTGCTTTGACAGTGTCTCCCTTTTAATGATGAATTAGTGAGATCAGTAGAAGAAAAGGCCAGATGTGGAGAATTGCCTCACACCTTTACTGTCCGAGTGCTGATCACCTTCTTTCGTTCCTGCCGAGGGGAATTCTGTGCTGTGCAGTGCAGGTCTGGTTAATTCATTTGTGATAGTTAACACAAGTTAATAATAGCTCAGTGCATCCATGCAGCAAGAACAGAACTTCTTTTGGCTTCTAGTCTTCCAGTAGGCCTTTTAAAGGCAAGTGGTGGTCTGTTCTTTTACACCATTTGTCAGGCTGTATTATTGTTCTGGAAACTGAGAGGGAGCAAGGGACAGGAGCTGAATTCCTGCTTCTTGATTTTTTATGTTAAGGATAGTTGATTGCTTATTGAGTTGAGATTTTTTTTTTTAGGTAGAGCTTGGTGGTTTTTTCCTGCCTGCATGTGTTTTTTCTTCACTGTTTTAACCAGGGTGCAAGGCATGGTGTGTGTCTTAGGATTTGTCATCTTGTGTGTCAGTGTGCGTGGTATAAATTGTTTGATCCAGGTGGCTTGCCAAATGCATCTCAGGACTTAGTTTGGTGCATGAATAAGCATTTTTCTTTTTCCTTAAATCTGTCCTGCTGGGTGAACAGTCCAGCCTCTAGGATGAGGTAGTGAGGCTGAAGCAGTATTTAGGAATCACATCTCCAGTATGATGTAGGTCTTCTTGTCTTCTTCCTCTAAAACTGCTAAAGAAGGAAGTCTGGAAGAGGAGGTTTTTTGCCTTGAGGAGCTGTATATCCTGGAACAGAGCAGCTTTAGGAGAGGAGTAGCTTCTCTTTCAGCTTGTTTTATGAAAGTGCTGGAAGTGCTGCCTTGTGCTATGAGTACCTGCTTTCCTTCAGGACCTGAAGAAGAAAATTAGTTATTTGCAGGTGGAGCTAAAACGCAAGCTGGCAGTGAAGCACAGTAGTTGCAGGGCGTGGGTTCAATCACTGTCTGCTTTCTCATCCAGCAGTGAAAGCTCATTTTATAGGCATGTTCCTATCTTGACATTCAATTTTTTGTCTTTAGCTACTCAGTTTTTTAGATGCCACTTGTTTTGTTCCTCTCACCTCTCCTTCCCCCTTAAAATAGATGGCAAAATTAAATCAATCTGAGCTGGTGACAGAGACCCAAGAAATAACAGGATAAATGAGTTTTGCTTTTTCTTTGCACAGTTGTGTTTCTGCACTGCATTTTAATGGCATTTTAATGGCTTTTGTGTTTTGTAAGGTAATAGAGGTGTAGAGCTAAATAAAGCATGTTCAATTCCCAGCTTCTGAAATATTATAATATATATATTTTATATATTTATATATATATTATATAATATTCCCAGTCTCTGAAATATTCTGTGTGCTTCTCGCAGCATAGAAAATGACATTACTTGCTCTGAAAAACCTAGCTGTCAGTCTGTGGAGCTGGCTTTTAGAAATTTAAAATTTTAGTGTCTGCTTAAGCAGGTCTGCATCCTTGTCCACAGTTTAAAAACAGGTGTTTTTTTCTGGAAGTTGCATGAGACTTTGTCTTTTTTCTTAAATAAAGACTCTGTAGATTCTGTATGTGGAGACACTGGGAAGGATGATCTGCTCGTGGTCTGTATGGTCCTAGAGCTGTTTTGTGATGTCCAGGTGATAAGTTCCACTTACAAAGTTCTCCTGCTGTGTTTGTTTTGCCTCGGTAGATTGTCCTGGTTTTTGGTGTAGATTAGATCTTTATGTGGCCCCTTTCATTGCTATTCTGGCCTCCTTTTTAACTAGTTGCTGCCTTGTTTTATTTCTGGGCTGCTGAACAAGTGAACTACAAAAGGGCTTGGAGTATTGTTCTGAAATGTCACAGCTCTCCTGCTGTCTGAATTGTGCCATTTGGAAGGATAAAATCCTCATCGTAATTTGAAATGGTCAAAGTACTCATCAACGGAGTAGTTTGGATTAGGGAAGAGATGGAAGGGAGAATGACTGGGCGGGAAACTGCAAGTGGATTGAGTGTTTCCTTTAGAGAACTGTTCTGAAATCAGTAAGCCTGATACAATTTTACATTGCACAGCAAAGCTTTGTGGAACATGGCCTTTCAGAATTTACTCTGGGAGTTTGGGGTGTTTTAAAGGCAGCTGTATAAGCTGCAAAAAATTTTGTTTTTTCTGGTTTGGAAAGGCAATGTATTTATATTATGCAGAATGTGATTTCATAAAGTCTATACATATAGAGCATAAAGAGTTGTAGATTACAGATTCTGTATCAGGTGTGAGAGCTTGCAGGTTAGGCTTAGCTGTATATAGAAATATAGAGCTCCTTACTCTCTCTTACCCTAGTGTCAAACGTACCTTAGTGTGGGGAGCAGGAGCTGACAGAAATAACTTGTCTGTGGCAGGGCTGCCATGCAGGAGTTGTAGATTCTGATAGACCATGTTCCTCTGCAGTTTGTCTTCTAGAAGTAGTCTTTTTTTTTTTTTTTTGCCCCTGGTCCTCTTCTTTCAGGGAGGATTTGGCACAGCCAGAAAAATGAAAGCTCCC